AAACCAAATAATAACTCCATTGTAGGTACATGTAGTTAATAAATTACTCAGTACTTAAAAGTATACACTGTAACAGGGACACATTACAGTAAATTGTAACCCAATAATTAGGCCTATCTGCTATTTTGGTCGAGATAACAGTTGGATGGAGAGAGGCCAGAGTTATGCTTTATTTCAGTTGTCTAATCTGGGATCTTCTTCAAACAATGTAAAAGCCTTCAGAGTGCTCTTTCTCTTATTTTTGGTGACACTTCTGCCAAATACCATTTTACCACAATTTTACTGAATCAAGAAAATAAATAAAAGTCTATGGTATTTTGGTGGAGACTGCGATTACCATGGTAAATCATAGTAAGAATGAGGAGAGAGAAAGCAGGGTTATGCTGAATCATTTTATTTCATGTTTTATTAGTTCTGCTTGTGGGGTTTTATAGGTTATTAAACACATATGAAGAATCACTATGGTCCGTATCTTCCTCTCATTTTTAAATGGCACTTTTGGCTAATACCACATTATTAGTTTAGGAATAGTATATGGTACTTTGACGGAGACTATGGTGGTTACCATGGTAATTTGTGTAAGGATGGAGAGGACAGATCTGTGCTGAAGCAAGCATTTATGCCATACGTTTAATCAGCAGTATTTCCTTGCCAGGTTTTTTGGGGCGATTGCCTTGGTGGAAAAGCCAGTGCATCACTGATGTATTCACAATGGAGGATTCTCTTCCATTGTTGTTGTATTTCCTACAATGAATTCCTTATAGTTCTGCACAGGAGCAATTTGAAGATCTAGAATCTAGAGAATGTGTTCTCAAAGGATTGCTAAACTATTATTTCCCCTGGTTTGCAATCTCAACTATTTAATTGCATTATTTGATTTGCATATCCAAGCAAGACTGCTGAATGCTCATTTCGTGCAAGAAAATGAAAATGGTTGTCTATCAAAGCAGAGCCTGGCTGGCTCCTTCTCCTGGTTTCAGTGGCGAATGTCAGACTGACATCTATCTGAATGACTGAAATCACATCACAAATCGCTCTTGAGTGGCTGCTATTTAGAAAAAGGAATGTTTCTTCGCAATCTCTAAAAAAGTATGTTCTTTATAGTATGAATGTAATCTGGACACACTGCATTTGGCATGTTGTCATTATCACCTGCCTACTTTTTTATGAATTTGGACATACTACTTTTGTCACATGCTGTTTTTCGCATACTATATAGGCCTAGTAAGGAATTCTGCGATTTCGGATGCAGCCCATGTCTTCTTCACTGCAGAAGTGTGCAGAAGGTTAACACAAGTATCTTTGGATTCCCCTTCTTTAGTTGCAGAGAACAGGAAGCAGGGTTTTGGTAAAATTAGATGTTGGCAAGAAGAGGGGATATTATCTGAACAAAAACAGTGCAGCCTTTCCACTTGCTGACATGCGGGACAAAAGTGTATTTTAGAGACTCGTGCTTGAGTGTCTGGACAGGAATGTTGCAATATTAAATTAAGTGCATCTCTGAATCTCTGCTGAACTGATTTAGTTGCTGCAAGCGTCCTCCTACACTTTAGGGTCGTGGCAGAATGAAGCTTTTGGACTTGTATGCTTGCTGAGTGCTGTATTTTGTTTTATCTGTTTTCGTTTTTACATGTTTATAGTTAATCAGCTTGGGAATTTTTGTTTTAAAACCATATGAATCATCCTAATGCTGTTCCTTGCTCAATCTTTTCGTCATTCTGATAATAACTCGAGGCATTTTTAAGTCAAGTCTTAAGATGTTCATGTCAATATATTCTGAATAGTGTTGCTAAACCAAGCCCCCCATTACTTTGTACTTTTCTACCTAAGAGCTGAGTTGCAACATGCATCAAACAGTGTAACAAAATTACAATTAGATTTGTTTATAAATCTTGTCAACAAAGCTTTGAGATTTCCTTATGGTTTTCTCCCAAAAATAAAAGCTTAACACGTTTAACAGCAAAGAAATGAAGACAGACATAATTATTGCTATTGTAATTTAACATTATTACGATCAATAATACTACTAAACACTTGTTTGATTTTATGGTACATAACATTTTTTGTTATATTATGTTATTGATTTGTTTTATTTTTATTATTTGAAATGATACATTTTTTAAAATAATTTATTTTGTTGATGTGAGATTTTGTTAACAAAATTTCTGAAATAAACAATATTTCCTCAAAATTCAATTAAATATAAAACCAAGATTTTGGTTTTGATAAGAGGAATAGCTTTTTATTTACTTTTTTTCTAGTAATAGTACCGTGAAGCGCCTTTCTGTTTGATATAGAAAAGTAGACCGTACAAAACAGTATGTAAAATATTTTTGTGACTATTTGCAGCACAAATAACTATTATATTGTGATATACCGTTAAAATAACGATCGATCAATCACTAATTTTGAACGTATTTCTCCTTTTTGTGTGTTATGTAGAACCTGGGCCAAGTCTGTTCCAGGCAAAGTGGAGTTTTTCTCCAGCGAGGGTTCTGACACGACGATCCCAATCCCCATTGTGGCTCTGCAGAACGTGGACGACTCGTACCCTCCTCAGAAAAAGTCCTTCATGATGCTCAAATACATGCATGACCACTACCTGGACCAGTTCGAGTGGTTCATGCGAGCCGACGACGACGTCTACATCAAAAGCGAGAAGCTGGAGAGCTTTCTGAGGAGTCTGAACAGCAGCGAGGCCATCTTTCTCGGCCAGACGGGCATGGGCGCCCGCGACGAACTGGGCAAGCTGGCCTTGGAACCGGGGGAGAACTTCTGCATGGGCGGCCCTGGCGTCATCATGAGCCGTGAGGTGCTGCGCAGGATGGTGCCCCACATCCGCCAGTGCCTGCAGGAGATGTACACCACCCATGAGGACGTGGAGGTGGGCCGCTGCGTGCGCCGCTTCGCCGGGGTGCAGTGCGTCTGGTCCTATGAGGTAAGATGAGATGAAGTTTGTGGGGCAAAACGTACCATACACCTGGATATGTTTTTTTTTGTTTGTTTTGTTTTTTTGTGCGTGTGTGTGTATGATTACAGGGCCAAACCATTGTGATCACATGACCAAGATAGAGCAGGGCACCCTTTGCATAATTATTAGTGTCCTAGATATCCTGCAGCTCAGGCTCAAGGTTTATAATGCATATTGTTTGAAAATTAGACTCTTCATTGAACTTTCAGAGCTGCAATTTTCAGGTACTGAAAAAATTATAGGTTGGAGCGAAGCAGAAAAGGGCTGTGTTCTTCTTTTCACCATCAAAACTCCCAGGCAGGCTTTGATCCTTCAAAGGATATTGGTGATACCTGGCCAGGTATTACAGAGAGAGCTGGACAATAGTGGAATGTGTTCAAACAGGAACATAGCCCGTCTCTTATCATTGTTCTAGATCAGCTGTTTTATCAAAGCCGTTATGGGGTCACTCTGAGGAAATGGAGCTTTGGAGTTTGGACACTGCATGCCTTTTTGAAAGGGTGACCTCTAACATTGGAGAGGTGAGTCATCGTCCCTCCAATGGATGAAGTTCATCATCATGCTGTTATGGCCACTGCTTTTCTTCTTTTGAACAGACTGAGTAGCTGAGTAACTATTTTATAAAAAGACGGGGCATTTGCATTAAGGTGAATCTAATGCAATCTGTCAAGAGAACATGTCTGTCATATTTCACAAAAAACTATACATTTTCTTTAATTGCATAAAGAAAATGAATCCTTTTTTAGGACCATTACATTTTTTTGCATCGTTTTGATTGATTACTGTATTTACATCACTGGCAATTTTATGGATGCTTTCCTTTTTGAATTTCTTTTGTAATTGCAATAATTCTTAATGATTATTACTTTCTAGTTTTTTTTATTACATGCCATTACAGGGTAACACTAATACAATAAGATCATATAAGTTAATTAAATTAAATGAGTTATTGCATTTACTATCAATGAGCAATACATGTGTTACAGTATTTATTGATCTTTAACATTAGTTATTAAAAATTAAGCTGTTCATCATTAGCTCATTAGCTTTTTTGTTTAGAAGTATATTTTATTGTTAGTTTATTTTAACTAATGTAGTTAACAAATGAATCCTTATTGTAAAGTGTTACCCATTGTTATAAAATAAATGTATATTTATTTTCTTAAATTGACAGAATACATTATAAAATAATTTTCATTCAAATTAAGAACCTTTTCCACTCCCAAAATTATATTCATCCTAATGTAAAAATACTGTAATGCAGTATTGAAAATGTATTCAAAATGACTATTGCAAATAAGAAAGCGAAAGATCCAGATGTGTTACAGTAGTGAGGTAACTCATTTGAGGAGGAACATGTGCTTCATTTTCAATGCAAAACATTATGGTCCTAAAATAGTCTTTATCAGGCAAAAAAATATTATTTGATTTTGGGGTGAAATGTGACCTAGGCATGTTCCTCCATCTACAATTTCAGGTGTTTGCAATGGGAAAGGAAACTATAGAAGAGGATTGATATTTTGTGTGGATCTTTCTGTGCTGTTAATCTGGATTTCCTTCTTTTTTTTTGTCTTTTTCTTTCTTTCTTTTTTATAGATGTGGCGGCACTTTCCCTTTTTATGCTAGTTTTGAGTAAAGCACTTAACATTTTTCTCCAATGTCTCAAATGAGTCTTAGCGTATCGTTTAGTCTACCAAAACCATCCGTCAAGGCAAGATTACCCTTTTTTCCATCTACTCCAGATGAAGGAGCCACATGCGCAATTCGTCACTGTAAATGTGACATCGCTTTTCACAAATTTGCAAAATGGAAAAATTAAAGGGTTGGAAAGTTATCAGAGGTGCTCCATGAATCTTTTTCGGCTTGTGGAATGGGGCGGAATTGGAACCTCTGAGTCTTAACGAGTCCCCCCAGTGACTGGGGCCGCTGGGACTTTAATGCGCATTTGATGTGTGCTTTAATTACAGCCTTGCTGGATTAGTTAGAGACGGCACAGCTGGGCAACCTGCTATTAATGTCGGAGCATTCTGCCTTTGGTTCTTTATGGAAACGGCCGAGACCTACTGCGCTGCAAGTCTCGACGGGCCCTGCGAGAGCGTCAGCCTCGTAAAGTGACCTCAAAGACCTCTCGGCTCAAAACGGCAGCCTGTTACTCCCTTAAATACTGATATTAGCGTCTTTGTCTGTTCGGAGCTCTTCAGATGTGTATCTGTCTGTGCTGCCGCTCAACTTCTGTTTGTTTATGGCCAGAGCGCAAACAGTCTTGTCTGACCTCCGCTTTGGGCTCGCGGGTACTTGAGATGATTCCTGTGCTCAATTTAAGCGGGTATAACAAAATGTAATTTTTTTTCTCTCTCAATTGCAAATTTGTTTGCATATTGAAAACTCCAATAACTATAATTTTTCTAGCTAATTAACTAAATGAGCATTTACAGCCAATCAGAATCCATTCTGGTTTAAAGAGCTTGAGCATTTAAAGTGACAAACAGCGTTATCGAGCACTGCTGTAGAATCTAATATAGTTTTTATTGCTATAAGTTAACGTTCTCTTGGTGTGAATAGGCCTTAAAATGATTTCTCGATTGAATGAGGGATGCCAGCCATATCTAGAGGTCAGATATATAATTTGGTATTAAGATGTGGTTTGGTCGATCGGATCACAAGTAGACCAGGGATTACACTTCTGTCGTGATTTCTTCAATGGGAGGGTCTATGGGTGTGTTTTTTTTTTTATTTTTTTTATTTTTATTTTTTTTAGATCTTTTGATATAACGGCACATTAAGTTTGAACAATTTACATATGAAAGCACTCAGAGACGGGCAGTCTGGTCAAATGTGTTTTCGACTACGTTGTGGTGGACTGTTGACAACTTAGACCCCGTTGCGTTGTCCACTTACTAAATAGACTAAATGCATCTTAATACTAGATGTAAACAGGGTCATAGAGACATGTGGGTGGACTTTTCTGACTTGGTCAGGACAAAGCAACCACCCACCATGTGGGGGGGCGAATTTTGCATGGACAGAGACACTGTTTTATCTATTTTTTATTTATTTTTTTTACACCTAGTGATATCAAACCTCAGCAGTGCTCAACCAGACTCTTGTCACCTGTGTTATATTAAACGTGTCGATCCGGGAACCTTCTCGCAGCTGCTCTCGTATCTCTCGCTTGCTGACCTTGTCCTGTCCTGGTTGCTGCCTTCCGCATATTAGTGTCTAAACATAACCGTTATGTGTCTGCCAGTTACGTGTCAATGGTTCCGGCTGAAGAAATGTTTCAGCTGGAAGTGACAGATATGTAAAATTATGTGGTGATATACTACCTTTCAAAAGGTTGGGATCAGTAAGATTTGTAATGTTTTTGAACAAATATGTATTACACTCACCAAGTGCGTATAATAAAATGATAGTTTCTGAGTCCAAACTTAGCTTATGCTTTCATGATGAATATTGAAGTTTGCATTGTTTTGTTGTGCTTTTTAGTAAAACAGAGAGAGTTGTAGTGTAACATACTCGTCTTGGGGAAAGTCCTTAAACTCGTTGAGCCTTTTATTGAAAGTTGAATGTAGAAGTTCTGCTACAAATAGGTAGTGAAGGGCTGTGCTTTATTCATCAGTGCAGTTTGGCTAATCTTTACAGGAATTATATTGTCACATTATGTTCTCTCTGAATGACGTGTGAGACTTCTGCTCCCAAATTACAACTGAAAGAAGAGCTGTCTTAATAGTTAGTCCAACAAATGTGCCAATTAGAAGCGTTGTAAAGTGGTAGTTTGTTCCATTGAAAATGGAGAAAAGCCCTCATGCAAGAACAATGCAAAATGCTCATCAAATGTCGTTTTGTACGCCGTTTCGTCTCTTTTCATGTGACTGAGTGATCGTTGGCATTTTGAATGATATTGACAAGCCGTTCTTCAGCCATTATTTAGTTGTCAGCCCATCTGTTGGCTCAGAAAACAGCCGTAAACGACGACACAAATGGAAGCTGAAAGCCAGTATTGGGTTCCAGATTTTTCCCATGTGTGCCTTGATTTATGACTTGTGTCACTAAACTGTCAGTGCATTTATTTATCTGTTCATTGTCTTTGTAGTATAGATAGACCATCTAAACATGAAATGAATTAATGAATTTAGTCATGTCCTAACCTGGCAAAATGTGAAGAAGCGGTCTCTTCCATGAAATCTGAATTTTATCAAAAGATTAAATGTTACAAAAGATTTCTATTTCCATGAAATCCTGCATGCAGAAATCTATCAGTTTTCTCAAACTGTTTTCAACATTGAAAATATTTCTTGAGAAGCAAATCATCACATTAGAATGATTTCTAAAAGATCATGTAAATGCAGCTCTGGTGAGCATAAGGGACTTCCTTAAAAACGTTAACCATAGTTGTTGCATTTTGGTCTCACATTATCATTTAGAATCTAAAGTCTTTTTCTCAGTGAGCTCCTTGATGACATGTCACTTTCAGAGAGTCTGAAACTTATATGACATTGTTCACCAACAATGGCCTCAAATCATTTTGAGATCTATCCCCATGTTGGCATCGTGTGGTAATTTAACAGCTTCCGCTTCCAGTGTAATGATGATTGCATCTATCTGTGAGTTTTCAAACACGGACGCTCTTTTATGTATGATTCAGCAGACCAGAAGTAAAACTTGTCAGTGTGACCCCAGACCTGTGTCATAAAGAGTAGCCATGTAGTGTCAATGAACACTGCTAAATGTGATATTAAATAGTGTTACTGTTAACTAATTTTTTTTTTTTGTTCATAACTTTTTGGGGTTAAAAATGATCTAAAAAAAATGAGCAAGTACATAACCAGCCAGTGTTCAAAACTATCTGCTTGCCTTAGCTCAATTCAAATCGGTAAGCTTGTAATACTGTTTTTAATTTCAGTGGTAACGGTGGATTTCCGCGAGCATTGCTTTGTTTCTTTGCGTCAGTGTTTCCCAACCCTGTT